TATGTAACTGACTTTTTTTTCTTAAATATAGGCTTACTAGAACTATACTATCACTGCGTCGCCATTCTATCCTGTCGCTACAAATTAACCGAAAGCCTCGATGGAACACGAATATCATCAATTCGACAAGGCCTAGCAGCCGTTCGAATCTACTCCATAGTCGCAGTCGAATGCGACAATCAACTCCCACCCCATCCTATCGTTCCATACGCCATTTCCCTCTCTATGGGTGTTTCATATCGACAGCTTCGCTCAAGCAAATTGATTACCCACTTCAATCGAGCAAAGGCTAGTCTCGAGGCGTGTTGCTCTCTACTGGAAAAGATTAGCCCTCAATGGTATTCTGCAGAGGCCATGGCGCGATTGGGGCGAAAAGCCTTGCACCAAATGGACTTGAACCCTGAGCAACGTCGACAGCCCCAGCCCCAAACCCAACCTGCAGAAGCACCGTTGCCGTTGCCGCGCCCGTCTACGAATACAGTCCGTGCCGCCCCCGCGCAGGAGCAGGAGCAGGCGCTAGAGCTGGAGTCAGAGCCGCCCGGGCTCGCACTACCCACAAACACGAATTCCACTGCGTTGGCCTTGGCCCCAGGGACGATCGATATGGTATCGGGAATGCCATCTACGGCCCCTGAGTGCGAAGGCCCAGGCCCGCTGAAAACACCGTTAGAGAGTGCGAGTGCGAGTGCAAGTGCGAGTGCGCTCCCATCGGTGCAAGATTTTGACGCTGAAGCCCCGATGCAGGGGTTTGCGGACATCGACATGCTCTTTGGTGAGTTTTTGGATCTCTCGCTCCCGACGAACTTCTGGGACCCCGTTTTCGCGGAGGAGGGCCAGGGCCAGGACCAGCAGCACGGTACCTAGACTAGCCATAGCCATAGCCATAGTCATAGCCGGGGGTGTAGGAGGGGGGAGGCTAGCGCCGGGGCGACAGGACAATTGGGGTAAGCTTCGAGAGTGGTTCTGGCTCGGTAAAGCGCCGATCGTCATTGATTCTCGAGCGGCCAGAACCTGGTCTCTTTCTCATGTTTCCGTTTCGCACCCACACACGACAACTCACGCCCTGTTGGTGGGTGGAGAAGCCAAATGGCGATCGGCCGCCAATAAACCGAAAGAGGCGGGTTGTTCAGCCTCGGACTCGTGGGTGGTTCCCACTTGTTCTATTGTCAGCACAATCGAGCCCGGATCGTCAGTTCGTGTTTCCCATCCTTGCTAGTTAGAGCCATCTGTCATTTGTCAAAACAAGTCGTGGGCCACGGAACGAACGGTGTCAAGTTCCCCTTTGGTGGAGCCGAGGGGGGGCACCCTCGAACGAAAAAATAAAATTAAGACTGGGAAATAAGAATATTCAGGTCATTTTACTCCGTAGTGAAAGCAAATTAGTCCAGATCTCTTTAATCTTTTAACAACAATTTCCCTTTGACACGCAAATACCCACGGTTTCCGCTAATTTCCCCAATTTCTCATCTGGTGGTTTCGTCTCCTTTGAAACACGACGCGCATCAACCCCCCCCCACGCCACCACATCATTTTCTTTCAATCTCATTCTCTTTGATCCCCTCGAGGGCTTCTTTCCCCCCTCTCCCTCTTTGCTGGATGTCTCTTATCTCCATCGCCCTCGCTTTCCCAGTGAAATAGCCCGCCTCCGCCTGAATTGTGGTTGTTGAGGCGGCCTTGCATGTTGATTCATACTCCAGCCATTTTCAGTCTCACATCCGGAGAACGAAGTAACCAGTACATAAACCACCTTCGATGACCCACAGTTTGCGTACCGAGTACTCCTGGTCCTGGTCCCGATCGTGATTTCGATTTCGATTTTATACCCGACCACCCCCGATGGATGCTGGCATCAACTTTAATTGGAATGTCCTACGCCAACACTGATCCAATTTCAATCTCAACTCGTCCTTGAACGTTCAAGTGTTACCGAGAGAAGTGGATCCTATCCGCAACTGCCGGTGTGATTATATACTTCGTCGCGAAATTCGACAAACCCATAGCAATACAACAACCGTGACCCAACCCATACGGGAATTGAGCGGTTGGAAACCCGCAACTTGAATACACCGGTCTAATGGCGACCCAAACCCAAACCCAAGTCATGGAGAAGGTGGCGCTACCTGCTATCATTCTCACCGACACAGAACAGCCACAACCAGATTATCCAACCAACACGGAGCTGGAATCCAGTCCATACCCAAGTCATCCGATCTCTCAGCTCCAAGGACCCTTTCAAGAATCAATTCTCGAAGCAACCCACAAGTCAGCGAATGAGTGGGTAGTGGAGATCGACGCGCAGACCAGGCGTCGGGATTTATTAGAAAATGACGAATACGAAAGACTCTGCGGACGAAAATGGCGCCAAAGGGAATCCGAGAAGTAAGTGGTTAACTCTTTTGATTTCTCTCGTAGTGACCCTACACTCGACGACATTGAGATTGACCCTGGCCTGTACACAGATACCATCCATTCTGGAAGCTGGTCTCCCAAATGGTATTCGGCGTCCATCTGCTAGCGAAAGGAATGGCCAAATCAGATCAAGAAGTGATGAAAATCCTTCAAACCCACGTCGACGAACTAGACGGCTTCTTACAACGAAGCACAGAAGATTTCCTGATCATTCACCTGGACGTTCGTACTAGAATCCAGTATCTCAGCCTACCCCTCGGCAATCTGGAGATGTTTGATGAGATGTTATCCGATCGGAATTTCAGATTAGCCCTGGTGGCCTATAACGATCAGATCGAGCACTCCATTGATCGATTCACGCTTGCTATCACCGACGCCATTAAGGATCTTCTCAAGGGGAAGGAGGCGATGGGTGCGCTTTGGCATTATCTTCTTCAACTTTCGGACGAGGGCTCTTTTCAGTCGGAGAATCTGAAGGCTTTTTATAAGGCTATGATGGAAAATATGGAAGGGTGGATTATTGCTATGTCTAAACTACGTCGACGTGGTGCAGCGCTTCAGAAGGGACTTGGTCAACTTGCTTTTGCTGTTACTGAGATGCAACGACGAGTGGGAGTAGCAAGTCGAAAAGACCTGGTAAGTCTTGTGTTGTGTTGTCTTGTTCTCTTTCAGATCTCCACCATCGTAAGCTTTAATTCTAACTGAAGCAGCGATCATTCATCAAATCATCCCATGGCGGCCTGAGCCGAAATAGGTCCGTCAGACAAATGCTCTTTGCAAAGGGTCCGACAACTCCAGGCATCGCATCAAACAAACCACTACCACGCGATCCGCTCCTGAAGCCAAAGTCAACATCAGTATCTCAACGAGTCGCAACACCTGCAACACCTGCAACGCCCGCAGAAAAGTCCAGCGATAACGCCGAACAAAGAATCCCGAAGCGAACTTCAATTCTACCAAAATCTCTCAGTCGAGCCAGATCATGCAGTGCACTAGTCGCAGCCGCCAACACAGACGACACCCTACCACCATTACCACCCCCTCCCATGCCGATACCTGGCAGACTAAGCAGAAAGTTATCGAAACCATTCCTACCCAAACGCTCCGCCAGTGAAAAGGTCCCGGAAACTCAGAAACCACCACAAAGACCATCTACAGCCCCAGCCCGAACTCTCAAATCCCGCAGCGCATCAATCGAACAATTGAAAACTCTCTGGGCGAACGGACGTCCGCGAACACAGCAAGGAATGACCATGACCAATCCCAATACCACCAATGCCACCAATAACAGCAAATCACCCACCCGATCCCGACCACAGACTTCCTCACAGCGCCCAGCCGACGGAACGGGAGCCGAAACAATGAAAGACCAAATATCCCAATTCCTCAAAACAGACCGTGTAGTCGAAGCATGGGATAATATCACGCATAAAGCAAATTGCTGCGGCAATTCACTCTCCAAAACGAAAGAATGGCCCAGTTCCATTTTCCGCGCTAAGTCTTCTGAAAACCTCCACTCCAGAAACAAGGGCGGCGGTAATGGTGGTGGGCATTTATCAGCCGAAGATTTGGAGAGACAAATGTCCTGGATTCAGGAGCCGGAGTTCCTGAATACGTACTCGTTCAAGAGGAGGCCGGATGTTTCTCCGAGGATTCACGTTTTATCTGTTCAGATGGATTTGGATGAAGAGATTGAACGTATTAATGGTGGTCTTGGTATTGAAAGTGGTGCGCAGGAAATAACAGGCGCAGAAGCAGAGGAGGAGGTTCGTGATATTGCAGGGGATTCTGGATCTATTATTACTGCCTTGCCGGCAGTGCCGCCTCCGACGCCAGCGTCTATTCCTTCTCTTGCGGCGGAGTATCAACCTCGGACGGTTGAATGTGCTCATTGAGGATTTCGAGAGAGTCATTTCTTTACTCCAGCTCAGCTCAGTTCATACAAACCGGCACACACCAGCGCAAACCCCTCGATACCTGCCTGATCCGAACAGAAACCCATTCCTTACGCCCTGGATTGGTTCCAGAAACAACAAACATCACATTGCATACAGCGACTTCTTTTTCTTTTCGTTTTAACATTTCGCTTCACCGGTTCCCGTTCAAAGATACCCAATCACTCTTGTTGAGTGTACAGACCGGTCTTTTCCTTTTCCTACAATAGACAGATATATAGACTACAGACTACAGATCACAGACTCCATTAGAAACAATGACCTACTAGTATTCTTTGCTCCCCCTTGTAGAGAACTTGAAAGAGGGAAGAAAAAGCCTCAAGTACCCATGGCATTATTCGTACACATACGGAAACAGAGAGGATAGGATATTATAGAGGCAAAAAAAAAGAAAAATTCTAGCATTCATTTTTCAGACCCTTATGGCCGAGCCGAATCGAATCAAACTGGATCCGCATACTCAAGCCCCGGCAAAGCGCCTAAGCATTTAAACGCCCAACATGGAAGCCAAAACAACATGGACCAGCACCACTACACTTCATAACACATGAGCCCATTGAGGAACACGAAGCTGGGGAGAAGGCAAAAGGAGAAACAAAACCACAAAAGTCAAACAATAGATAAGTAAGAGACAAATTATTTGCACCGTTTCTCCACAATATTCGCACCATGTTCCTCGTACTCCTTCTTAGAAATCCACATCTGGTGGAACGTACCCAGACTAGCGAGGATACTACCACCAATCCAGGACCCAAAGCGACGCTCAGAGGTATTACCAGGAGCAGAGACACGTACACGAGGACCGGGGAATAACGTCATAAGTTCCTGATTCAACCGCTCAGTGAAACCATACACCAAACTCGAAGCACCAGTAACAACAACATTAGACAACAAATGAGGACGAATGTCTACATCAACGCCAGCCAACGAAGCCTTAATAACCTCCGGCAAAGTCTGGGCCTGCGTAGGCGCGGGAACAGGAGAGTCGGGATCCGGGATAGCAGCCTTGACATCGAAGAGCGATTCGACAACGCGGAATCGGTCAACGCCAAAGACCTGGTTATATCCGTCTGGAAACTCGAATGGACGGCCCGGCGAGCTGCGAGCGAGTTCTTCGTTTGAGATTCCCGTGGGCCCGGGCCGGAGAGTTTGTTGGGTCCCGGCCAGGTTTGCACGACGCATTCTTTGAATTCGGCCAAGGTGCGCTCTTCTTGCAATGCGCGGTAGGAGGCGTCGGGGGCGCGGTCTGCGGGGAATGTTCGGTAGTTTGCTTGGGGTGGCTGGCCTGCTTCGACGGCGGTTTTGGAACTGATCAGGTAGTGGGGGGTGATGGTGATGGGTTGGGGCGAGTTCTTTTTGAACAGGGCGCGGATTTGCGATGAGATGTAGTCGCCGCCCAGTGGGGAGTGCTGCACGCCTCTCTTTAGGATCATGCCATCGTGCACTGGGGTGACGGAGATATTGGAGGCACCGATATCAATGACCAGTGCGGAGGCCTTGCCGGAAGCGAAACTGTTGTCGAGTTAGCAGACTGGAAGGATGGGGGTTTTCAGACATGCAGACAAGCTCAGACAATCAGAACGCCTTTAATGCTTGTCAATGCCAAAGCGGGGGTAAAACATACGCAGCAAGAACTCCATTCCGCGCAAGGTAAAAAGCAGGAGTGCCCCATTTCTCCATAGCAATCTCAATAGTCTTCTCACGCGCCTTGGCAGGGTTCCAACCAGGCTCACTCATCAACAGCGGCGTATCAGCGAGAGGCTTCTCATCCGTCTCAACCTCCATCTCGGCGGGGAGCTCTTCACTAGAGATATCGTTTAATCCATTATGAAAAGGATTGTCCGGCTTCGTGGCAGTGAGTCGCGAGGCAAAGGAGTACTCCCAGACTTTCTCTGCCATATCCCAATCCTCGACAATACCATCCTTGCCGATCGGGTTGTGCACGGAAATTCCCGCGCGCGGCTGGACAAACATGTTGTCGCCAAAGACCAGCCTCTCTTTTCCCTCATAGTTGTACTTGCCGTAGTACGTTGGGATGACGGACTTGGGGGCGTCTTCACCGGCGAAGCCAGCGCGGGTGGTTGAATAGCCTGGGTCGAGAACGATGGCGGAGACTTCGTCTATAACGCGTCGAGAGATAGGTTAGTTTCAGCTCAGGGTAATCAATTCGCGGTTCTCTTTTGCTAAAGGTAACAATGGACGCTTTTTCGAAGGGAATTTGTCGCATCGCGCAAAGCAACGTACCTCCGCCGTATTCAGCAGCTTGGGGTGGATTGGAAGGATTCATGATGAAGGCGCGAGTATATGTGCGCAATTGAAAGGATACCGCAATATTTAATCGAAACTTCAACCGGGTACGTCAACAGGACCGAAACCTTGCGCGGGGACAAGGGTGTGGTTCAAGGGAGAAGAAGCGGTTCTTTTCGGTGCGGGAGGAGCTTTGGGCGGTTTGCGGTTGGCGGAGAGAAAGAGTTCCGCTTGGCAGATGACCTCACCCTCACAGATGCACTGCACTTCACTTCTTTTCTTTTCTTTCTACTTTTTGCCCACGCATCAATTCTCTCACCATATCAATTCATACTGAGAACATAATGGAGGACGTCGATGTTGCCCCAGAATCTCTCTTTCGCCCTGCGAAGCGGCGCAAGTTCATTCGACGCCGACCAGATGAAGACGCCGAAGAGACCAGTCGCGACACGACGACTGCGACTAGCACAACGGATCCGAAGCATACACCAGAGGGCCAGTCCAAGCTGAACGAAGATGATGACGAATCTACACAATCCACCGGTGTTGTCCGTTTGCGACGCCCCAATCCTGCTCGAAAAGGAGGAATTGGATTCTCCGCCACATCGCGACCCGGTCAAAATTCAAACCGACAATCTGCCTTAGTGTCATCGAGGGAATCCGAGAAAGAGAGCATACGCGATATGACCGACAGATTCACTGGGAATGCCGGCCAGACGGTGGATGTAGATAGGCACATGTACGACCCGACTTCCTCTGCCTTGCAGTAGCTTGCAAGACCACTCTCACAAAGCGAGTAAACTAACAAGATAAGGATGGCCTTTATAGATTCCGAAATGGCTAAACGATACCGACACAGCCCGTTACCAGAGAATGAAGAAAAACAACCAATCTCGCAGCACTCCGAGAAACCAACAGCACCAGGACCAGGACAAGCACAAGCACAATCAGAGCGTGAGCCCGCTTCCTTGGGCAGATTACATGAAATCGACCTCGGACAAGAGGCCAAATTGCGCAACATCGAGCGCACTGAAGCAGCAACACGAGGATTCGGCTCTGGAGAATCACAAACAGACCGCGATCGGCCCGGTCAAGCAGAAGACTCTGGCAAGTCAAGGCGAAATCGCAGACGTACCAGCGCCGATATTGAACGAGACCGACTTGTGGAGGAAGTGTTACGTGAGAGCAAACGTAAGTGAAGTCTTTCCTGCGGGTTGACCCGTAGATACTAGGATTCGATTCTAGAATCTATTCTAACCCTGGTCCTTCTCCACAGTGGACGTCTACGACGAACCCGAAGACGAACCAAATCTCGACGACCAAGAAGCCGACGACCGAATCGCAGAGCAATTCCGGCGCGACTTTATGGATGCGATTCAGTCGAGACGTCGGGCTCGTACGAACACAAAGCCAGCGACTACCAGCGGCGGTAGTGGTAGCAAGGTTGAACCGCCTAAGGGACCGAAGCTTGGGGGTAGTCGGAGTGCCAGAGCTGCGATGCGTGAAATGCAGAGTAAAAAGTGAAGAGAATATGTATCTCAGGCTGTGGGTATAGTGGGGGTTGGGCAGAGTATCGCAACATACTGTATGATTCAGAGTTACATCTATGCAGCCAGATTTTCGCGGGGATGATTCCGTGAGAGGTATCATATCAGATATGCAAGTTTGCGGTGTGATGTTGAAGTGATTAAACAGGTCATACTAGTACGTGAATTTCACCACAGATCCTGTCAGTGAATAATAACCTGAGTGAGACTGCATGAACTGCTGAGATGCTATTTGTGAGAATATTATTGTGCGTACTACTGCCACCGCCGGAACTATGGAAAGGGAGATTCGCTGCCCAGTCAGTTTATATTGGCATTCATCCATACACAACCGTTAGTAGGGTACCTGTAGAGTACTACAGAAAATCGGCAATTATATTAAAATTGCCCGCACGTCATTTGTAACAGTAAGCTTTATGGTCGGAGACCTCCAGGGCTGGTAACCGATAACCTGTCACCCGTCACCCGTGTGGTGAAATTGAAGGGTCAACTTTAATATCGGCGGTAGGATCCAGGAACAATAACATGACAGATTACTTCTCCATAATCACTATACTCATTCGGGAGATTGGCCCTCAAATCGAGGCCCACTGCGGTTTGGTTGCTGAGATACAAAAAAAGAATGTGTACGAGTATGGTGGGATGACGATCTGCAGTTCAGTGTGTGATCTCACATGGCAGGTCATCGCCACATACCAAGTGACTGGGGCTGGGGTGATTTCTGACAAGTGCATGAAGGGTCTACGGCATAGGCACCATGGCAGTGGCACTACGGAGAAATTTTTACAGGGTCAAGGCTCAGCCTTGCGGGAAACCCGGAGCGCAGGATCTGTGAGACAGCGGTGGTGGTAATTATAGACCAGCCGCAGGCGGGGGGCCATTTGACTCGGTGCCCTGGCGCTTGGCCGTGTCTCAGGTTGATGACGCTGGGACCACTCATAAGCAGCTGAGGGTGGATTGTTGTCACAACCCTCGATCAGGGCAGGACAGGACCGCACACACGACCACTTCCTCCAGTGGTCATGGGAAGTGGGAAGCAGAGTTTGACTTCATGAGGTGTACATGTACGAGTACTCCGTAGTGGACGAGCTAATGTTCTCGCCAGGGCCAAGACTCTGGATTCGAATCGAGATCTACTGGGACAGGGAGATCCACCAGAGCGTCTAGAACAGATAGCTCCAGCGATCGACGCGTCTCTGCGTTTTGTATGGCGAACCCTGGCTTCCTACCGTTAGGAGTACTCCGTAGGAGCTTAGGAATGTTGCGTCAAGACCCGCAGTGACATCCACGGTTGTCCAGGTTTCAGAGTACTGAAGAGTGTACCTTGCATTTGTGGCAGTGGTCCAGGGGAGATAAACCATAACTATTCTGGGACGAGACACGGAGAAGGCCTCCCTCTAGTCATTCACGGGTACTCCGTATTGGTTGTGGCTTGAGCGTGGCGTTGGCTTTGGGCTCGTTCAAGACTAGTCAGGACTAGTCAGGTCTTGGTTTTGGGAAGTGGGAAATCCTGCGTAGCGCCATTCGGAGATGGGGGGGACTCTAGTCTCAGGTAGTCTGTATGTACCATGGGCACTGGACGGCCCGCAGGGAGCTGAGCTCCACTGTCAACATGGGGTGAATCTGACTGCATTCACGAGAATCCACGGTAGGATATGTAGAATAAGAATAAGGTAAGAATGAAAGTAAAAATAAAAATAAAATTGCGTAGACCTAGACCTGGTGGGACAGGATAAAAATGGAGAGGGAAAAAGAAGGAGGAAAGTCTAGACTTCTGAAACGCGGCAGAACCAATCAGCCTTTTCCTTCAGGGGGCAATCACCACTCACACTACCACCACAACCACCACCTCGTCCGGTCGAGACTTTCCCTTCGATCTTCTCCTCCACTCTCTCTCTTCCTCTCTCTTACTCTCTTTCTCTCTCTATCTCTTCCTCGACTCACTTTCGTTTTCATCTAACCTAGCGAACCCCTCGCTACTCGACTACTTGACTACTCGACTTTTCGTCCCTCGTTCCGCGTCCTCACCTCCTATTCCCTTCTTCAGCTCGCAGGTTGATCCTGCCGCCTTCTACGCGACGATCTTTTCCCTCACTTCGCCCATGTGCTTGTAATATTCTCGCCTTTGCTCTCCCCTTGACGAATACTTGCCCAATTGCCATTCTCCGATACTGGTGATTGAATATACATCCTTTCTGGTTACCCCAACACCAGACCAGATTCGATATGCGGTCCTTCGTCTGGGCCCTGCTGGGCCTGGGTGTTGTGCCTGCTTTGGCCACCGACACCCTGAGCACCAGTGGTTTCAACCTGTGCATGACGGACTCCGCTATCAAAGTCCAAAATCTTGATGTCACTTACACTCGCTCTACTAACGAGGTTGTCTTCGACGTGGCTGGTACCAACTCGAAGAAACAAAACGTTACTGCGACCCTGACCGTGACTGCCTACGGCAACGAACTTTACTCGAAGACGTTCGATCCATGTGGCACGGAAATCCACGTCGACCGTTTGTGTCCTGGTAAGTGCCATCCCCTTCCAATCGCAATTGTGGTACCTTCAGCAGTTCGGTAATACTGACCGGATGTTCGTGAATAGTCCCCTCTGGCGCCTTCTCCGCCAAGGGAAGCTATAGCATCCCCGACAACTACGCCAGTCAAATCCCTTCGATCGCCTTCAACATACCCGACCTGGATGGCCAGGCCAAGATGGTCTTGAAGAGTGCTGATGGCGATAATGTCGCCTGTGTTCAATCCGAATTGTCCAATGGAAAGTCGACCGATGTGAAGGGTGTCGCTTGGGCTTCCGCCGGTATTGCAGCTGGTGCCCTAGCTCTCAGTGGATTGTCTGCTCTCGGTACCGCAGGTCACCCGGGAGCTACTTCCTCGAGCCCAGGCTTCGGCGACGTGATGGGTTGGTTCCACTCCATGGCCACCAATGGCATGTTGAGTGTTAGCTATCCTAAAGTCTATTCAAGCTTCTCCAAGAACTTTGCTTGGAGTACTGGCCTCATCTCATGGGACAGCATGCAGAATTCGATCGATAGTTTCCGCAAATCCACCGGTGGAAACTTGACCGATAACAGCTACAGCTACCTCTACGACCTGTCTTCTAGCTCCTCCAAAACGAATTCGTCGACAACAACCAAGCGTGGCCTAGACATGGTGCTCCGTCTCGGTGGTGAGATTATGGCCCGTTCTGTGGAAACCTCTTCGTCCGACTCGACCAACAGCACGGGCAGCAGCGACAGCCTCTCGGATATTAATGTGACTTCCGAAGCCGGTCTCAAGAAACTTGGCGAGGACCTCATGGTGCCTTCCGCCAATATTTTCATGACTGTCCTCTTGATCTTCGCCATTGTCATCGCCGTCGTTATAGTTGGTATCCTGTTGGTGAAGGTTATCCTGGAAGCCTGGGCCCTCTGGGGTAACTTCCCCAAGAAGCTGTCAACCTTCCGCAAAGACTACTGGGGTCTGATGGCACGTACCATCACCAATATGATCCTTGTCCTTTACAGCATCTGGGTGCTCTACTGTGTCTATCAACTGAAGAATGGTGACTCGTGGGCCGCTAAACTTTTGGCTGCGATCACTCTGGCTCTATTCACAGCCGTTTTGCTCTTCTTCGCCTGGCGTATCATCTACATGGCTCGCAAGTACAAGAAGGCTGAAGGCGATGCGACTTCCTTGTATGATAACAAGGACACCTGGCGCAAGTACAGTCTCTTCTATGATAACTACAAGAAGGACTTCTGGTGGTTGTTTATCCCAATCATCGTCTACTCGTTGGCCAAGGATGTATCATTGCCGGAGCCCAGGGCCACGGAATGGCCCAGAGTGCCGGCCAGCTGGTTGTCGAGGCTCTGCTCTTGATTCTCCTGTTGTGGAACCGCCCCTACGCCACCAAGTCCTCCATGGGAATCAACATGACCATCCAGATCGTCCGTGTGTTGTCCGTTGCCTGTGTGTTGGTTTTCGTTGAAGAACTAGGTCTTTCCCAGACCACCAAGACAGTCACCGGCATTGTCCTCATTGTCGTCCAGTCCACTCTCACCGGTGTCCTCGCGATCCTCATCGCAGTCAACGCTATCATCATGTGCATTCGCGAGAACCCCCACGCCAAGAGGAGAAAGGAAGCCGAAAAGGCCAACCGTGACCTCGACGACCTCACCCCCTTGGATGCCCGCGAATCCCTGCTGATCGAGCACCCCCCGAAGAGAGATTACAACGAAGTGAGCAGGTTCAACTTTGCCAGTCCCTACGAGCCATATAGGGATCAACCATCACACCGCCACGCCTCCGCCGGCAGCCACGAGAACCTCGTCTATGCTGACTACGGCGTCGCCAATACCCATGACCGCAGTTACAGCCAGCAGTCTCACGACGGTCGGCGAAGCCCATCACTTGAGGGCCGCCATCCGACTAAACCCGGTTACGGCATGGCGTACTGATATTGATCTCACGATGCTGCCGTTGCGTTTCTTTCATTGAACTTCCTTCTTATACCCCTACTCTCTTATCTTCTTCTTTTTTTTTCTCTAGGAAGGAGAGAGGGGCTGGCTCCATTTGGACGCCTTGTCTTCTGTGTTATTGTTTAGCGTGGACGGTTTCCTTCTTTCATTCTCATTTGGATTTTTTTGTGCCAAAACTACACCTCTCTCACACACTCTCTCTCGCACACGCACACGTGCGTCGCATTTTACATACTCAACCATCGTTTTTCTTTCTGTTCCATACTCCGACCTCGACCTCGACCTCGACCTACTCTCTCATTTCAGCGCATTTGTCGTGTCTTCTGTTCAGCTTTGGTGAAAAATGCGTTGTCGATTTTTCCTTGTACATGCTATAGATTTGACCATAAAGCAATTTAGTAAACCCTTTTTACACTTATTTTTCTCTTCTATCAGAACCTCGAAGAATCCAAGACTTGGTGGGAGTTAATGGCATGACAGAACCGGAGTTACTTTTAATAGAATAACGTATTTTCAATGCCTGAGACTCTAAGAATAGTTTCTTGGCGTGATCCACCTCTGCGGGATGGAATATTGGATGACATTGATGGGTATCGTATATTGACTTTCTGGACATGGTGATGTTACCTACATGACTCGAATCTTAGTTCCCCAGAGTACTACCTAACACTAGAGGCAGAAATCGAGGATAGTACTAGTCAGACCGGTGCGGTGCAGTGTGTGGGAAAAACAGACTCGAACATCTATCCTAACGTACACTACGCGAACAGCCAAATTGACCGTTTGATTCTTGTTTTGAGCTGAGCGCAAGGCAAGGTAGGGGCGAACATTTATCGAAATAACCACACCATGGAATGCTAGGGTAAGCTCTTTCTGATCTCATCTCATCTCATACACTATCGATCATTTCCCTTGAGAAAATTAAAACAAGGCAGAAAACAGAAAAAAAGAAAAGAAAAGAAAAGGAATATTCCCAGCCGTTCGAAAAGAATCATGAGAACTAGACAGACCAGACCAGACCAGACCAGACTTGCTAATTGGAACGGAAATGGATGAAATGGATAGACAAGACAACCTTAACCGCAAGTGCAAGTGCAAGTGCAAGTGCACAAATCAGAGAATAGACTTTGAACTTTGACGAGGGATTTTCACTTCAGTTGTAGAAAAACAAGGCAGGAAAGGGAGAAAGAGAAATGGATAATGAAAAAGGCAAAAAAAAAAAAACAAAAGAAAGAGAAGAGAAAAAAAGGATACAGATGGAGGCGCAACTCATTGCCCACCCTCCAAGGGAAAAGTGACCAGACCAGACCAGACAGACCACCAAGACAGAGACAAGAAAGAAGAAAAACTTTTTTTTTTCTCTCGCTTTCCTTTCTACCGAGAATAAGGATGGAAACCACGGTGACCACCTCGACCACCTCCACGATAATTCGCACCAGGCTTGCCGGCATTACGGGGGCCGGTGGGAGCATTTGCTGGAGCAGCACTCTGCTGGGATTGAGGAGGTGTGCCTAAAATTGTGACAAAAACACGAATTAGCAAATCTGTTTCTTTTTCCATTTTCGAAGACCCCTACCCTACTCTGTTTCTACAAAGTAGAGTAGAGTAGAGTAGGTATGGTATCCATCCAACATACCACGACCCATACTGCCGCCACGGGCCATGCCCTGAGGCCCAGTGGGGATATTGGGCTGAGGAACTTCATCGTACATACCCTCCCAAGAGGTCGGCCCACCGCCCTGCTGGTAAGGCGAGAAAGAGCGGTTGTCCATGACGCGGCGAGCTTGCTGCTGCTCATACTTTTGCTGTTCGAAAGCGATCTGTTCCTGCGCATTGTAGCCAGGTCCTCCAGCGGCAGCGGCGGCCGCCTGCTGTTGCGCTGACTGCTGTTGTTGCTGTTGGCCGCGGTTGTTGTAAGGGTTTGGACTGGCGCCGTCGTTTCCTCCATTACCCTGCTGACCACCCTGCTGCATCATGGCGGGATTCATCATATTCGGCAATGCCTGAGACTGAGATCCGGGGCTTTGAGGGTTAGGACTCATACTTCCCTGTTGCTGCTGCTGCGGTTGCTGCTGTTGGGGGTTACCACCCATTTGCTGCTGTCTTTGCATCTGTTGCATTTGTTGCATTTGCTGCATCATGGCTGGATTCATTCCGCCCATCGCGCCCATTCCACCGGGCATGCCGCCGCCAGGACCACCGCCGCCACCCATGCTCATTTGCTGCTGCATCATGGCGAAATATTGCTGCATGCGTTGCCAGTACTGCGCCATCATTTGAGGAGTCATGCCGTTGGCCATACCCTGCTGTCCTCCACCTTGTTGTTGGGCGCCACCGTCTCCGCCGCCCTGGTTCATGTTGTTCTGATAACCGCCATCGCGGCCACGACGACCACCGCGGTCCTCATCGCGAAGGTTGCCGCGGGGTTGGGCCTTCTTGACTTCGATGGGCTTGCCTAGGATTTCAGGGGTCGGGAGAGGGCATTTTCGACCGCGGCTTCGCTGTCGAAGGTTACGAAGCCGAAGCCGCGGGGTCGACCGGTATCCTTGTCGATCATGAGGGTTGCGTCGACGACTCGGCCGAATTGCATGAAGAATTGCTTGAAGTCTTGCTCGGTGGCTTCTTGGCTTACGCCGCCGACGAAAATCTTGCTGGTTTTCTCTTGTTCATCACGGGGGATGGCACGCTTGGGGTCGATCTTTGAATTGAGGTTGTCAGTCACGGTCTAGAGTAGAGAGGGAATACTACAAATTCGTGGGTGTTCAGATATCTTACAATTTTGCCATCCAAGTAATGCTCCTTAACCATGACCGTATTAACAGTTTTAGGATCGCGGAAGGTCAAGAATCCAAAGCCACGCGAGCGCTGCGTGGCACTATCTCGCATAACTGTGCATTCTTGGACCTCGCCGAATTGAGAGAAATATTCACGAAGAGTATCTGCCACAAAGTTGTCAGATTAGACCCGATATCAATTATTATGATGCCCTTCCTGTCCGAGTCCTGTGCAATGAAATACATACGATCTGTGGTTTCCCAGTTCAATCCTCCAATAAACATTTTCCTAACCAGAGTAATAAGTAATTAGCATCGACGGATATAGAGTGATATCAAAAGCAGAATACAAGTGCCACCGAGAAAACGCAAAATGCAAAACTTGAATGCAACGGCAAGACTCAAGTCAAATCAATCACATCGTTGAAGAAAGTGTAAATGAAAGCTCGTGCTATCGAGCTGGGTGGTGCTAAGCTGCTATTCACGAATACAGCTAATGCTGAACTGAAACTGCCTGGAGGGGGGGAGGGGAGGGAAGGGCCTCCACCCCTGTGCCCTGTACCCTTTGCCCTGTGTTTGCTTGCGGCATATGGATGGGATATACGCTAATTGCGCAGAGTACGTAGAATCACGTATCGACTCCACGGCGTTATTCCAAGGATCCCTTTCCCAACCAGGCCCACTTGGTTTACCTGAGCCTGGGGGTGGGGGACCTTGCATGCCGTATCCTCCTCTTGAGATTGAGAACTTGCCACGCCATGGGCAATGTAGAGTAGAAGATGTGGTCTGCGAATATGAACTCTTGAGGGCGAATAAGTGGATTGTCACTGTCTCTCTTTCTGTGCTTGCTTGCTTGCTTCTTTTTTCCCAGCTAGCGAAGACCTTTGCTTGTCCAATAGAGAAGCCCCATGCTAGACTCGGATAGAAACTAGCTTGTTCAACTCTGACCAGACAGCGTTGCTACTTCTTGCTCTGCTCTATCAACGTATATCGACAAGAAGCTATATAGTATCGGCTGTACTATATGTAGGGCGCTCGCAACAAAGGTTCGCGGAAGAGATCGATCTTTTTTTTGTTCCACAGTTTCAGTTTCACACTTGAGTCCGAGGTGGCTGAACTTTTTGACTCCGCGGTCCTTGGCCTTGATCGAGATAATGTATGATATGATCCCCACGAGTCTCTCTCTTTCCAAGGTTTGTTTCGGGCAGTTTCATTCCGATCTCTAGGAATCCAGCATCCAGCTACTGAAAGTGGTGTTTCCGGGTAGGTTTGAGAGTAGGAGAAAAATCCGGTGTAACCCATTTTGCAAGTTGCCGATGACCGCCGATGAGGAACATTCCTCCACACCACATACCAGCCCCATGAATTGCACGAACAGTGGATCGAATTCAGTCTGAAACCTGCCATTCATTTCCACACAGTCGAGAATAAAATGAATCTTGTAATGCCCCACAAAGCTCATTCAATCTTCTGCAGAGATTTTCCTCGTGGCCCAGAAGTGGAGTCATATTTCCAATCCCTTAAGCAGAACCAGCCATATGTGTATACCGTGAATAGCAATAGACACCACCCAGATATCCCGGTTGATAGCGAGAGTAGACCTCGAAAATCGAAGCCAAAAGCAAGAGCAAAACAAAGCAAAAATAAACCAAGTGCGAGCGCATCGGTAAGGCAGGGAGGGGAAACGTGAACTTACCCATCTTCCTTAATTCCTGTACCGGATCCATGAGGTTCATGGTCTGCGTGAGGAGCTTGCGCGGGTGGAGCGGAGGCTTGGGAGCCATTCTGATAACCTGCATTGTAATCTTGCTGGGGCGCCTGGTATGAGGGGTACGAATCGGGAGCTGAAGAGTCGTAAGTTGGAACAGCCGAAACAGGAGCAGCAGCAGGTTCCTCGGCGGGAGGAGGAACTGCGGCCGCGACAGGTTCGACGGGCTTAGATGCCTCTACTGCGGAAGTAGTGCGGGTGGTTGATTCGTCGGCATCATAACTAAGTGAGAGCAAAGTAATTAGAAACCCAATTCATGGCACAAATGAAGTCGAGCGAAGGGGGAGGGGGAAGAGGCGAGAAAATAGGGTTAACGTACAGATCCGCGAAGAGATCCTCCTCGAGATCCTCCGGTTCAGCCATGATTGCTGGAAGAAGGTGGCTGCGAAGTGTAAGGGGACAATGCGGAAGGAAGTGACAAGGATCCGAGAAGCTAAAACCGACGGATTGTGTAGAGTTAGAAATCCGGCGTGGGTGGAAAGAGATGAAGCGGTAATCTCCTCTCTGGCTGGTCCCCCTTGAGGAAAAGCGGAGGAGGATTTGGCTTACATACGCACGGGTGCTCTTCTACGTCAACAACCACCTTTACTTTACCTTTACCCTTTACCCTGGCTTCTTTCAAACTTGAACAGATTCAAACATTTACTCCCCCACAGCTACTCGGTCTAACAATGGATTTCTAGAATCCTTCTTTCTTCGTTGCTATATGGCTCGATTGGCGCAGCACACTACATACCCCGATTCCAATTACTGGACTGGATCGCCCCGCACTTGAAACTCGTCAAGATCACAGTTGACAGCCATGGCTAATAAGAAAGGACAGCAGGTAAGCTTGGCCCTTTACTTTATTAAGACATGCTGGAAGAACTGAACTGACAATTGACCCAGGAAATGGTCCAGGTTGGTTCGTAATATATCGCCTCGCGACTTCCCCATCATTCATCAAGCTAATCCAAGCTGGCCGGGTTGCAGACAATTCCCGAGTATGTGATACACCATTGTCTTCTCTTCCAAGCTAACCTTTCTTTCTAAGACGCGCCGATTCTCCTTTCTGGGCTGGCCGATCTACGTCCCTTAGTAACCAGGGACAGTCGAAGACATATGGCCAGAATACTGTTGTCGGAGCTTCATATTCCCATGCGGATATAGTACAGTTCGTCCCCCCCCCCCCCTGTTTTCATTCTCGACTTGAGCCCAATTGCTTCTTTCGGAGATCATACTGACAAACAGCCTTCTTGGTAGTGGCACCTCCACCCATACGCGCCCACGAACCCCACCTCGATCCTCGTCTACAAATGCGCCGTCCCCACCATCATACCTAGGCCACCGAACAGGAAACGTCGCGTCTCCATCCCATAAAAGCTACACCGGTCTCATGAAAGAAGGAATGGATGGCTGGAGTGGGAATCCCACCCAGGAAGAAGACGATGACGACGACGATGAAGAAGAAGAAGACCACATTGTATATGATGACGACGAAGACGAATTTGGACTGCCAAGTCTCGCGAGTATGAGAAAGAAGAAACCCGTTCCCTCAAAATCAAAGAATATTGAGCCCGGGGGTGGTATGGGGGGGCTTTTCATCCTCGCTGGGATTCGGCCTTGCATCAAGCAGCAGACAACGGGCAAACAGCTCGGACATTGCAGAGGAACGCGGTACACCCATGTATCCCACTTCACGAAAGAGCGATGAGAAGATTCTCCGCCCTCAATACAAGGATATCTTGCAAGGTCAGACAGAATAATTCTCGAAGTTGTCGCATCGAATCGAATCGAATGCATGCTAACGTGAGGATCTAGATCCGGCAAATGCTTTGAATCTTATCAACCATTCGGCACCCCCCACAAATGCTTCTGTCAAAGACAGGGAGATACATTCAAGTCGCATCTCAAGGATCAACAAGTTCAAACGCATCCTTCAGGCAAGCACTGTTTCGCTAAACGAATTACGGGATCTCGCGTGGTCTGGAGTCCCAGAGGAAGTTCGTCCAATGACCTGGCAGTTACTTCTTGGATACCTGCCCACAAACAGCGAAAGACGAATCTCGACACTAGAGCGGAAGCGCAAGGAGTACCTGGACGGAGTTCGACAGGCCTTCGAGCGCGGCAGCGGGGCAGCTGCAAACCCGCCTTCAACCAGTACAGGCCGTGGCCGGGGTTGGACGAGGCAGTCTGGCACCAGATCAGCATCGATGTTCCCCGCACAAGCCCTCACATCCCACTCTACGGTTATGAAGCTACACAACGATCTTTAGAACGGATTTTGTATGTGTGGGCTATCAGACACCCGGCCAGTGGTTATGTGCAAGGTATCAATGATCTGGTCACGCCATTCTGGCAAGTATTTCTAGGTGTGTATATTACGGATCTGAATGTGGGAGAGGGTATGGATCCTGGCCAACTACCCCGAAGCGTTCTGGATGCGGTTGAAGCCGATACCTTTTGGTGTCTGACCAAATTACTCGATGGGATTCAAGATAATTATATCTATGCCCAGCCGGGAATTCACCGACAGGTGAGGGCTCTGCGTGATCTGACGAGGCGAATCGACTCGGCTCTTGCGAAGCACTTGGAGCAAGAAGGCGTGGAGTTTATGCAATTTAGTTTCCGGTGGATGAATTGTTTGCTCATGCGGGAAATGAGCATCAGGAATACCATACGCATGTGGGATACTTACATGGTATGCCCCCTTCCGCCGTTATACTTTTGCTGAAGATCGATACTGATGCTCGTGGTGTTTCTAGGCCGAGGAGCAGGGCTTCTCCCGATTTCATCTTTATGTCTGTGCTGCGTTCTTGGTCAAATGGACGGATCAATTGGTCAAGATGGATTTCCAGGTAAGTATCTTCTTTCTCACAGTCAGTACCGCTGCAAAACAAGTCTAATGTCTAACGAATTTCATAGGAGGTTATGATGTTCCTCCAAGCATTGCCTACTAAGGACTGGACCGAGAAAGATATCGAACTCCTGCTGAGCGAAGCATTCATCTGGCAGAGTCTATTCCAGGACTCAAGCGCACATCTTCGACCGCAAGGCGACGTGCCTCCTGAAAATGGTATCTTTTATTGAAAGTAATCATAATTCATCAATTACACACTGGACTCTATAATAGTCTGGCGCCCCAGCAAGAAGACTTAGAAAGATTCTAAGTCCCAATCCAAATCCCAGTCCCCAATCAGTTAAAATGGATTCCCTTCTGGTTGAAGGCCCAAAGCAACTTCAGGAAATCATTCTCGTCGCACATACGCGCACGTTTCTCGCCAAGACCAGTTTCATCTTCCAGAACAGAGCGCACCTTTTCACGCACCAACTCTGCAACCTTGCCCTTCTTCTTCCGGGGGTTCTGGCCCTTGAGCGCCTGCGCGAGGCGGGCATTAGTCTCCTCTTTAAAGAAGTCAGGAACATCATCGTCATCCATTTCCATAACCTCATCCACCTCATCACCCTCAGCGTTCTCTTGTTGATCGCCCATGTCCATGACATCGCCATCAGCGTCTTCGGCCGGTCCATCTTCGACAGCAATGTCATTCTGCGCACACCAGGTGCGGTAGTTTGACTCGAGAACGCCCATGATGGTGGGTGTACCGATGAAACTGGATCGTAGAGTTTTGTTCTTACGCACGAATGCAATGCGTAGCAGACCGTCCCACTCATCATAGTCGATCTGTGGCCTGGGTACTTTGGGAACCATCCGGATGACACTCGATTCAACTAGAGGCGGTGGCTTGAAGTTGTTCTTGCCGACTTTCATGATGTGGTCGATTTTAGCCCACATTTGAGCGTTCACTGAGAGACGACTGTAGAGTTTGTCGCCTGGTTTGGCGAAGAGGCGCAGGGCGAATTCGCGCTGGAACCTGGATGGGAAGGAAATATGTTAGCTTGATAGATAGAGCGAATAAATGATTGCAGTGTCGCAAATGTACAACTTACATGAGAATGCAAGAACGGGGTGCCGGGTTAGTCGCCAGCAGCTTGAATGTAAGAGGGGAAGAAATCTAGATGGGATGTTATTTAGACTCCAATTCGGACCAAGAAGACGTAGACGTAGTCTCTTTTTCTTGTGTTTGTGAAAACATACCTGGTAAGGAGTATTGCTAATGCAGACATCAAAGTATGGCAACTCAGTCTTCATCACATCACCAAGAATAACCTCGAGACGTTTCTGAGCCGGAGTGCCTTGGAAACGCTTGGTGACTTCAGCCGCCATACGAGGATCCAGTTCCACCGCAACGACCTTCTTCGCTTTATCCAGAATCTTGGCCGTCAAGTTACCAGTACCGGGACCGATTTCGAGGACAACCTGTGGTGGTGAATGGTTAGCATCTAGCGGAGTATATATATGGGGATTCGGATCCCCGCAGAAGGAGAAATACTCACGTCACTTTGTTTGAGATCGGCCTTGAGGACAATTCTGGAGATGGAGATTTGGAGATTAGTCTCGACGTAACCTAGACAAGTGATACACAATAAAATGACAAACTCACTGCTCGGCAATACCGGGGTTCTTCAAAACGTGTTGACCGATATCTGTGTTCATTTTGAAGATACTGTGGGCAGCAGAGGCTTTAGCGGCCGCATCTGAAGTTGCGCTGTTGCGCTTCTTCTTGTTGACTTTGGGCATTTTGAATAGACCAGCTGTACAGCCTGAGATTCGTCTGAAATCTGCAAAATCTTTGCAGTTCAATTGACCAAAGTCCAAAGATTCCAAGATTCAAAGTGGGCGACTTTTTTTGCCGCAACGAAAAGATAAGATTGTCGGCGTCGGATTTACCTTTTCCCGGTTGCTTGCTGCCTCCCATCTACTACGAGTAACTACTTCCTCTCTTTGCGCCGACTTTCTCTAGCTGTCGCTGCGTTGCCAACCATGGCGTCCGGACGCAAGGATTTCCTCAGCCAACAGGCGCCTGATAATTACGTCGCCGGTCTGGGTCGTGGTGCAACCGGTTTCACCACTCGTTCCGACTTGGGTCCCGCGCGTGAAGGCCCAACGCCAGAACAGATCCAAGCCGCATTAACGAAGCGCGCAGCACAACTCGGAGCTGCAGCACCCACTGCATACGGACACAATTCTCGCGAAAAGGGAGGCAAGGATGAGAAGGAAGATGAGGGGGACGATGAACGATTCCAGGATCCCGATAATGAGGTGGGATTGTTTGCCTATGGGCAGTTCGATCAGGAGGACGATGAGGCAGATCGCATTTATCAAGAGGTAGATGAGAAGATGGACAGGAGGCGCAAAGCTCGAAGGTTAGTTTTTCCCTTTTATTACCCTCTCCCACCTCTGTCCCGTAAAACATCTTGTTCATCGGGCCAGTCCTCTATTTGGATAGATTGCCGACTATATTCGTTCGCCATCAACAGGGAAGCTCGAGAGCAAAAAGAACAAGAAGATTATGAACAGAAGAACCCCAAGATTCAACAGCAATTTGCCGACCTCAAGCGATCACTCGCTGCCGTTTCCGAAGACGATTGGGCCAACCTCCCCGAAGTCGGTGATCTTACCGGCAAAAATCGACGAGCGAAGCAGAACCTACGTCAACGATTCTACGCCGTACCGGATAGCGTCATCGCAGGCGCCAGGGACTCTGGACAATTCGATACAACTGTTGCTGAAGATGGAGCTCAGCCTGACGGAGAGGCTGCTGATGGGACCATGACCAATTTCGCGGATATCGGTGCGGCGCGTGACAAGGTTCTGAAGGTCAGACTGGACCAAGCCGCGTTCGGATCGACAGCCGCCAGCGATACCTCTGGAAGCGCCACTAGTATTGATCCCAAGGGATATCTCACCAGCTTAACACAGTCTGAGCAGAAGGCTGGAGAGGTCGAGGTCGGTGATATCAAGCGAGTTCGAGTCCTGCTGGAATCAGTCACCAAAACCAACCCCAAGCATGCACCTGGATGGATTGCACTCGCACGTTTAGAGGAGCTGGCGGGTCGTATTGTTGCGGCTAGGCACACCATCGCCAAAGGATGTGAGCTCTGTCCGAAGAGCGAGGACGGCTGGTTGGAGAACATCCGACTCAACGAAGGCCATAATGCGAAAATCATCGCTGCCAATGCTATTAAAAACAACGACCGCTCAATGAAACTCTGGCTCGAGGCCATGAAGCTGGAAACAGATCTGCGCGCGAAAAAGAATGTCCTTCGACAGGCCATTTTGCATATCCCTCAATCCGTCGAGATCTGGAAGGAGGCCGTTAATTTGGAAGACGATCCAGCGGATGCGCGCTTGTTACTGGCCAAGGCCGTGGAAATGATTCCTTTGTCAGTGGAACTCTGGCTGGCTCTTGCTCGACTGGAGACACCGGAGAATGCGCAGAAAGTACTCAATTCTGCCCGCAAGGCTGTTCCTACGAGTTACGAGATTTGGATCGCCGCCGCTCGTCTTCAAGAGCAGATGGGTACATTCGAGAAGGTCAATGTCATGAAACGTGCCATCCAGTCCCTCGCCAAGGAAAACGCGATGTTGAAGCGAGAGGAGTGGATTGCTGAAGCTGAACGCTGCGAGGCGGAGGGCGCCATCCTCACTTGCGGCTCTATTATCCGAGAGACACTCGGATGGGGCCTGGACGAAGATGATGACCGCAAAGATATTTGGATGGACGATGCAAAGTCCAGCATTGCTCGAGGTAATTATGAAACAGCCCGAGCCATTTACGCCTACACCCTGCGGGTCTTTGTCAACCGCCGATCAATCTGGCTTGCAGCCGCCGACCTCGAACGTAATCACGGCGATCGGGAAGCTCTATGGCAGGTTCTCGAGAAAGCAGTCGAGGCATGCCCCCAGAGCGAAGAACTCTGGCTACAGCTCGCCAGAGAGAAGTGGCAGGCTGGAGAAATTGACGATGCCCGACGTGTGCTCGGCCGTGCTTTCAACCAGAACCCCAACAACGAAGATATCTGGCTAGCCGCCGTCAAACTCGAGGCTGACGCCAAGCAAATCGACCAAGCGCGTGAACTACTTGCCACAGCTCGTCGCGAAGCTGGAACGGATCGTGTCTGGATCAAAAGTGTTGCTTTCGAGCGACAATTAGGCAATGATGATGACGCGCTGGATCTCGTCACACAGGGTCTTCAATTGTACCCGAAGGCCGACAAACTCTGGATGCTGAAGGGACAAATCTACGAGTCTCAGAAGAAATTCCCCCAAGCACGCGAGGCATACGGAACTGGTACCAGAGCATGCTCAAAATCGGTACCACTCTGGCTACTAGCCTCACGATTGGAAGAAAAGGCCGGTGCCATCGTTCGCGCACGTTCTGTTCTCGATCGAGCCCGTTTGGCCGTACCCAAGAGCGCCGAGCTCTGGACAGAAAGTGTGCGAGTGGAACGTCGGGCGAATAATATCCAACAAGCGAAGAATCTCATGTCAAGAGCCATTCAAGAAATCCCGGCATCTGGTCTCCTCTGGAGCGAAAGTATCTGGCACCTGGAGCCTCGGGCTCAGCGCAAGTCTCGCAGTCTAGAGGCTATCAAGAAGGTGGACAATGACCCGATCTTGTTCATCACCGTGGCGCGGATCTTCTGGGGTGAGCGACGATTGGACAAGGCTATGACTTGGTTTGAGAAGGCGATTGTTTCAGACAGTGACTATGGCGATGGTTGGGCTTGGTATTACAAGTTCTTGCTGCAACATGGAACAGAGGTTAGTTTTCGTCCGAGTGTGCACGGAACAGGAATGGGAACAGTTACTAACGAATATTCTGTTCAGGATAAACGAGCCGACGTTGTCTCGAAGTGTGTCTCGACTGAGCCTAAGCATGGCGAGGTGTGGCAATCCATTTCCAAAGACCCAGCCAATGCGACCAAGTCGACGGAGGAGATTTTGAAGGCTGTTGCGGACACCATCAACTAAAGAAGCCCGGTCACCGAACTGGACTGTATTAACATGCAAATGCAATTAAAAAGGGCGTTTTGAACATGGAAGGAATTGTTCTATGGCTATTTTATTTCTACAATCCAAGTGATGAATTCAACTTTCTACAACTATGTCAACTGTATAAAATGAACGAATCTGATTCATGGGTATCGAACAAGCATGATGGTCTCCTCCAATACACCTCATCCGTCAAGAGACCACCGCCATCGTATCGTATCTGTCTGTGCCAGTGCTTTTTGAAGTTTTCCAAAGAAATAAAACGGATAATCTCCAACAAGCTCATCCGTAAGTGCAAAAGGGATATGTACTTTACATCGTTTGGGATTAGCCCCATATAAAAAAGACAAAGAGAAAAAGAAAAAGAAAAAGAAAGAAAACAACGCAACAGCAAAGCCCGAAGGATCTTCAAGAGAACTCCAGAACCAAAATGCATGAATGGGCGTCACGAGGCGTGACAATCCCAGTAATCCCAGACGCCGTGATCCTCCAACCACCCAAGAAAGACCGAAAGGGAATAATGTAGGGGAAAAGAAAAGAGAGGGCAGTGTCGCAGCGGCGTGTTTGGAAGAAGGAAGACAAAAGGGCAGGGCAGGTCAGGGCAGGACGAGAGAACGTAACAAGAAAGAGAAACAGAAGCAGAAGCAGCACGGGGTATAAGTCTCAATCAAACCTTTCAAGCAGCCAGGGACAGACACTCATCAAGTAATGAGCCCAATTGATCTCGATCCGCCGCCGTCCCACCCTCCCACTCCCAATCCTCGAATGAATCATCATCTTCATCAAGATCCATTTCATCCTCGGTAACAGGAGCAGGCTTGATATCCCTATTCTCACTAACCTCAGCCCCAGTCCCACCAACACCAACCCCATTCTCCAACACCCGATCCTGTTTCTCAGTCTCAAGCTCATCTTCCAAATACCCACCAACAATCTGATCAATAATCAAAGGCATATGACCTAACACACCACCACCAAGCTCAAGCGTTAACCTCAAATCTCGAACACCGAGCGCTCTCCGCGTCCCCGCTTCCCTCGCTTCAACAGGTAATAGCCCCGTAGCGGTATCCTTAACGATCTCACCACGAGTAAAAGCAAGTTCTTCCCTTTCTAACTGCTGCCTGTAATTGCGTTTCATCATACCATTAATAGTTCCCGAAGGCCCATTAGACCGAGTCCGAGAAAATACAGCAGAAAGTACCTCCTTGACGAATGTTTCTGTTGCAATGGCCATGAATTCCGCGCAGGGTAGACCCGCGCCGCTTGGGAGGGACTCTTCGTAGCACATCGGTACCATGCGGGCGTGGATTGATTCGGCGTCCGGGAATTCTCCGGTTTCTGCGGCGAGGGGTTGCGCGTAGCGTTTTCGAATTTCTAGTTCCCAATCTACAGTGCGACGCGATTAGTTAGAAAGTTGTCCTAGTCCTGGTCCCAGTTCTTTGTCCTTGGGGGTGGCGGCCGAGGTCCGGGGGAGGATCCCGAGCCGGAGCCCGAGATGCGGAGGCGGATGTGAGGGCGTGTATGTGTGCGTGTGCTTGTGCTTGTGCGAGTTCGCATGTCATATCTGGGCCAGGGTGGAGGTGGAGGTGGAGATGGAGATGGAGATAAAAGTAAATGGTTGTCCTTACTGGTTTTGTTTAACCCGCCTGCGCTTGCGGGAACTTGGCTTGGAAGCTTGATCTGTTTGGCTTGGTGGTATTCTTCCAGCTCATTTGGCGCTGGATCATTGGGGTCACGCTAGA